TAATTCTCGTATTGTCTGATTGACTCTTCAGGCCAGTAGTCTAAGTATCTATTTAGGGGATAACAATATGCATTATAGCAACTATGGGGGATTTCCTTCTGTCTTGTTTTTGAAATTCAATATTGTTCTCACTGTTTTGTTCCATTTTATTATTTTGTTTTCTTCAATGTTCTGTTTTGATTGACTTTATTCTGTTTTGTTTTGTTTAATTAATTTTATTATGTCTGATAGTATGGGCAGCAATTTTGAAGCTAACAAGAGGCATTGTGGTAACCACTGTAGATTTGCCTTTTTTTATTACACAGTAAAAGGAATTTTATTTATTTTTTATTTTTAAAGAGGGTAAAATTAAACATAACAAAACATCATAAGAAAACAATGTAAGAGACACAGATTTCAAAGCAAGACAACCAGAGATCTTCATTGTCTATCATATTGTCTGTTTTCTTCCAAATAGTGTCCATGTCTTCACATACAATGAATTCATACAAAACAAAATAGTATAGAACTGATCAGAACAGGATGATGAAGGCATTTTAGGTCTTCAAGATCAGGCAATAAGGAAGTCAACAATGGCTGCCATAGTGTTTCTCATGCTCTTCAAAATAGTTGTCCACACCTTCACATATGTTGAAATTAAACAAAACAAAACAGATTAAAATCACTCTGAACAAAGAATAGCAGTGTTGCTGGATTTCACAGCATGATGCTATGGAATCAGTACTGGGTACCTTAGTATGTCTTTTTCTTTAAAGTAGCTGTTCATTTCATCATGCATTACATTTTTGATTCTCATAAATGTTTTAGAACTTATATGCATGCATGAGTGTGTGTTAATTTGCTATTATCGTGTTTTAAAATCTTGTATCACTTGTACTGTTTTATTTTGATTGACTTTATTCTGTTTGGTTTGGTTTTATTCTCTTTAAAATAAAATTGGGGGGGGGGATGAAATCCCTTGGGCTTTTCAGGGAACTCCAAGACCAGCGACAGACTGGAAGCTCAATACAAACTCACACAGCAGCTGCAGTTGTGAGGTCTCCATACTGTATACTTCATTACAAGCCTGAAAACATCTATGATTCCTTTCATGGTTTCTTCTATAAAGAGGCATCAGTTCTTAACCAGTCCCAGGGTTGGAATTTCACAGTAATGTAGGATAGTGAAGGGACATGAGCCTTAAAAGTTAAAAGTTAATAGGTCAGATATGATGGTATAGATCTGTAGTCCTAGCTGAGAGCGAGGTAGGAGGAGCACTTGAGTTTAACAGTTCAAGAAGAGCATGGGAAACATGCAACACTTTATCTCAGAAAAAAAAATAGTCAATAGATCTGAGTTAAAAGGGAGTAATCAGGGTGTTATCGAGAAAGGATGCACAATTCTAACTATAACATATGAGGGATAGTTGAGCTGCAGGCAATTAAAAAGTAGATACAGGGAAACTCTGTACTTTGTATTAGCCTAAAAGCAAGATGTAGATTTATAGATGAAAACTATTCTGTTCTGACTTCCAGAAAGAGAGCAAATTGAACTGCTAAAGACCACTCTAGATCCTTACCGAAGAATCTATATACCCAATCTACTTCCGTATTTAATTACTAACCATCCCATAGCTATGTGCCTTCCCCTACGCTCCCAGCTGCCTCTAAGGATTCACCTGCCACCTCTCTAAAAGCTCACTGTTCTTGGTTGGAGATGCTTTATGGAGCAGAATTCCAGGGAATCTTTTTGAGAACTACTCATTTCTTGGGTGTTTCCCAAATATATATGAAATACATACATTAATATATTTTTGTTGTTTTTTCTCCTTATGACCTGTCTTTTGTTACAGGGTCTTTTCCAACTAAGAGACTTTAGAGATTATTCTTCTCCTCCAGTTCCAAATTCTACGCTAGACATACAGAGACAGACACAGTGCAGTCTTTATGCCATGACAGTGCTCAGAGTATAATTGGGCAGATGATGGTTTTTCCAAAAAAGGAAATAATTATATTGCTGCGAAATCTAATAGGTAACATAGAGGAAAAATCTGAGAAATAATGAATATTACATCATAAGCCCAGTCACAGAGCACAGCGGCAAGGAAAGCTGCTTAAAGAAACTCTTTATGGGGAGATGGAAAGAATTCATGAAGGTCATCTTAGGTGACAGGGTGGGAGGTAGGGGACGGTGGAGAAGAATATCCCAAGCAAAGGTGCTGAGAATGGCAGGGATGTCCCTCAATGATGACAGGGGGACACAGGACTGCAAGAGAAGGCTGAGGGGGGCAGGTGGGAGTTGGAGCACACTAGGCTTTGCAAACCATCGAGAAGTTGGCCTGCAGTCTACACCATGAGCCCCAGGAAGCCAGCAGGTGGGGCATTGAGTTACATGTGGTTTTAAAGAATCAGTTGGCTACAGAGTGAAAATATAATTGGTGAGGTCAAGAACGGAGCTTGGGAGACCAATGTAGAGAGGGTGTCAGTGAGAGATGAATAAAACTCTGCCCCAAACCATGCATCCATTCACTCAAGCACTTATTCATGCAGGTGTTCCCGGCGCCATCCTAGGCTTATTAATGGAATAGTGGACAAGAGAGGCCAGGCTTCTGTTCTCTGTAAGTTTGCATCCCATAGAGACAAATATAGCAACAACTGGGGAAAACAAGTAGGTGGGTTGCAGAAAATCCAAGAGTCCAGCCAATGGGCTGACAGGAGAGGGTAGAGAAGGTAACTCCATTTTCTGGGGCATGCTACTAGAGTGATAATACTGGCCCCATGCACGGAGCTGACTGTGACAGAATCAGACTTTGGGGAAGGATCATGAGTCTTTAGACATTGTCTTATGCTATTTTCTGCTGCGATGAGAGAATACTTAAGGCTTAGTGACTTCTCAACAACAGAAGTTTATTTGACCCATGGTCCTGAAGGCAGAATCCAAAATCATGGCAACGATACCAGGCAAGTGCCGACATGGTGAAAGGTCAGAAAGGGGAGCCCAAAACAGAGGCCAAACTCACTTTCAGTGTAACAAATCCATTCTCTAATAACTAACCCAGGTCCAAGACAGTGACATTAACCCACTATGCTCTCATACGCTTTTGCTTAATCCCCATTTCCTAACACTGCTGTACTGGGTTTAAATTTCCAGCACATGGGTTTTGAGGGGGCACATTTGACATGCTGAATGCGAAGTAGCTTTACCTTGCAGAATACGTGTAGCATTTTAAATGGTAGTGTCTCAAAGTACACTGACCCGAACCAAGTGTTAGGTGCTCAAGAAATGTTAGCCACTTATTCTGTGAAAATCTCCAAATAAAACTACCTCTCAGTGTAATAGCAAGTAGAGGTGTCTGAAATGGTTGTACCCACTTGAGCAGACAAAGGAAGCATTTTGTAAAGCAGCATCAGAAGTGCCAGAGAAGCATTTAACCCCAAGAAAGAAACTGAATTATGTCCCGACCCAGTCCAGTAGCTGGGAGCTGCATGGTCCTGAGATGAAGCTGAATTGGGAAGAATTTCTCAAACACTGAGATGTCTTGGGCACCCTCAACATCAGCTCAGAGGACCAAGGTTCCTGTTCCAGTTCAGGAAGTCTGAACTATGAATGGAATGCTCAGCAGTTTCCTAGATCTTCTCTACACGAGAGCCTCCTGAGGAGAGTGGGACCCCCAGAAAAACACACAGGAAGGTCACTGCCCAGACGACTGCTCTAGAACAAAAATATACTTAAAAATTGAATAGAATTGTACAGAAAAGAAAGGGAGGCTCAGAGAAGGGCAAATTCAGCATAGGGATATCACCTACAGGCCTGGCAAGGTGGACTGCTGATTTGCTCTTGTGCGGGGCAGAGGGCTTTATGGTTTTATTCCTTGACCTTATCTGGAGGCAGTTGTTGGGGAGAGTGAAAGTGTGCAAAGGAAGGGCACTAGGATCTTAGCCAGTGACTTTACTGGTCTGTTGATTCAAATAACAAAAAGGGAAGACAAAATATACCTGAGACAGTAGTAGCCCAGGCAACATTAGGATTGATGTTGGTTTTATTTCAGATATACATGAACAGAATCGGGATGTCTGTTTATGGAAATTCCTACTGGGGCCATCAGAGCCTGGTAGCATCCGAGCATGGCTGCTGTCCAGAGAGCCGCAGTCAAGATTCAGTTCTGAAAACATTTTCTGACTTTATCACAGAAAGGCTGACAACAAGGAGAGATCGGCTGCGGATGGAATTCTTTTGTTCCCCTTTCTTGAATACTGATTTTTAAGATTTGACTGCAGAATTGGACAGAAAAAGCCTCTCCTCCAAAGTTGTCTGTTTGAAAAATATGCCAGGTCCCTCCGCAGGAAGACATAATTCAGTCCATTACTGATTTTAAACCTAGAAGCAAACAAAGTAAGAACTTTGTTACTAATGGCATTAAATAGTTAATGTTTATAAAGGGCTTTAAAGTTGAAAAATACTCTGTAAGTGTAAAGTGTTATTTCTATCACCAACAGTTCTTTTGCTTTTAGGTTATATAAGAATACTTGTTCTTTAGCCTGGTTATGGATTCTTGCAGTGAACTTGGAAGGAAAAAAGAATAGCAAGAGTTCACAAAAGAAAGAAACCCACTGGTTTTTGTTTATTTTAAAGGAAGTTCTAGAACTGAAAATAGCTTTCTTAGCATCTGACAAAAAAAGAATACACACTTAACAATTCTTTTTATTTTACATGTTGGCATCGTGTTCCTTTGTCTCCCCACCAGTCCTGCTTTCTCTGACCAGTGAGAAGAAGAGATTTTTTCGAAAATTGAGCCTTGGAGAAGGAAAGCTGTCTGTAGCCTCCTGTGGACAGCCAGACCGCACTTAGAAGACAGAGAAAAGTGTCCATCCCTAAGGGGACAAAAGTCTGCTAGATGTCATAAAGTCTCTGGGGTTAGCTCACGGTGATAATTTCCCTTGATGTCATGCATCATAATTGTGGGATTGGGTGATACTATAGCAGGGCCATTGTGACATGGGTCATTTTTAATTAATGTAGTACTCAAGACAGGTCACACAGAGGGAGCAGTCTTTGTGGGAAGCTCTTAGTGACACCAAACATCAGTCTAAACACTAATACATGGAATCAAAAGGCTTGGGACCCTCAGACAGCTCTCATGGGGAAGTGGTGATCAGCCTGACACTGGAGTAGGTAAGTGGCTGCTGATGCTGGACTCTTGCCTTGAACCAGGAACTTGTTTATCAAACATGTATTACCTGCCTCTTTGGGTATCAATCACTGGTCTGTAGATCCTGTGAGGCTGGACAGGGAGCAAGGATACTGACACATCCTTAACTAAGGTTAGGAAGAAGCTGAGCATGGTGCTGCATGGCTGCGATTCCAGCTGCTCAAGAAACAGGCAAGAGAAACACAAGTTTGATGTCAGTAGAGGCAGCATAGTTAGATTCTGCCTCAACATAAAAGAAAGGACCAATAGTGTAGCTCAGTGCTTCCTTGGCTCAATCCCCAATCTCTCTCCCTCTCTGTCTCTCTCTCTCTCTGTCTCTCTCTCTCTCTGTCTCTCTCTCTCTCTCTCTCTCTCTCTCTCTCTCTCACACACACACACACACCAAAGTGAGTTGGGACAGTCAAAAGTACAAACATTGCAGTGTACAGGCTCGGGTCTACTAGTAAACCAGCCCCTTTCAAGTTTCCAAATGAGATGTCCCCTAATCATAGACCAGCACAAGAAATCCACTTGCCAGCTATCAAAAATCCATTTTTGTAGATGGAATCAATTTTTTGAATTGATTTTCTTGTACCAAGCAGTGCAAGAAGATCTATGACCAAGAGTCAGCAAGCATGTTTCAGTGTTTGGAGAATTCCATTGCAGTTCTCATCAATTCCCATAAAGGTTTTACATGGGTCCAGTGAAATGTGCTGTTTTGGGGGAATGTGATGAAACCACAGGCACGTTCACAAACAAAACCATTTTTCCAAATTTGTTTAACGTTTTGATCCCCACAGAATGGTCACACTGCTTGTGTCTTTGTTGCAGAAGGTAGAATTTACCAGCTGTCTTTAGAAGACAATTGAAGTGAGCATTGGGGGTTTGAGGTTGACATTGAAGGGGCACTAGGAAATGTTTCCTCCCCATCATTCTCCAAGGTCTCCACATTCCCCCAACAGTCTGAAGGGCCTCAGGAGGATAACCTGAAGTTCCTTTTGCCTTTGGACATTTGACCATTACACATGACGGACCAACTGACATACAGTATCTGGGTAATTCTAACCACTGACTGTTCTACTGAGTTGGGTCCAGGAGGAAATGATAGAAGGAATCCAGGGACAAACATCCTCCCCGAGAAAGGCGAAGGCAGAAGCAGTGGCAAACCAGTGTCTCCCCTTCCCGTCCAGTTAGTGGAACTGCCTCGCCTTCTATCACCCAAAATGGTCCTAGGATGCTGGGGACTCTGAAATTAGGAGGAATTTTTTTTAAGGAAATCATTAAATAGATGTGCTTTATTCTGCTGTCAGTCTTGTTGGAATGAATGCCCACATGGGAGCTAGGCCAGAATCATCTGTGTCCTAGGTTGTTGGTTGAACATGCCCCCTCCAAAACTCAAGTTGACATTTAATTCCTAGAGCAGCAGTGTTAGGAGGTGGCCATGATGAGAGTTGCGTAGGATGGGAGGTCCCACCCTCATTGTGGTGGATGAGCAGTAAAGGGAGCCTATGGGAGTGGGTTCACATTTCTACAACATGCAGAACAATGTTCCTCTCTATGGGGCGGAGCATTCCAAGCCCATCTTGGAAGCAGAGACCTGATTCTCCCCAGATACCAAACTTACCACTACCATGACCTTGGACTTCCCTGCCTCCAAGACTTTGAGAAACAAATTTGTTTTTGTAAACTACTCAGTCTCAGGTTTCTGTTACAGCACTCCATAACGAGCTAAGATTCTCTAGTTCCAAATTCCTAAGGTTTGTAGCTGGTGTTTAAATAGCAGTAAAATTGCCCAGGGCTCAACAAAGTGGGAGGATCTTCATTTATTAGGATAACTTAAGCATCAAAAGCATTTGTCTACAGAACAAGCAGCCTGGGCAGCAAAACAATACCACGTGTCTATCCATCTCCTGTCAGCTCTCCACCTCTCCCCCATTTTTGCATGTGTTCACCTCAGAAACACAGATAAGGAAAGCTGCTGTCAGCAGAAATGCATCCCGTGGTGTGTGTGCATCCTTGTAGATGCTCATGTGCATGTTGTACATGAATATTTGTCCAGGGTGGACATGAGTGCAGGTACACAGTGTGTACATGTGTGTCTGTGCACATGCACACCAAGAGCAGCGGTAGCACAGAATGCTGTGATGTCCCTGACTGCTGGTCACCACCCCACCTACCAGCAAAACAGAGGAATGGACTGTACACTTGTTAGCTGCTGGGCCGCCTTTTCACTGCTTTTAGTTTTGGTGTCTTGGATGTTATTGTCATTTATTTACTTATTTAATTTTCTTATGCATTTGCTTCCAAAAGGGATTAAAAGTTGCTTAAGGACAGAGACTGTCTCATTCTGTGCGGTTGTGAGCCTGCTCCCAGGTAGCTCCTCTGACTGATCTTGTTCAGTCTCCCTGACACTTCAGTGGCCGTGCCACTACAGATTCACTTCGGCTCCTGGAAAAGTCTTTCCCTATTTGCAGGTCCTCTGGGAGTGTCCAGTTTCCAGTGACCAGGTGTCAGAGAGAGTGGCCTCAGTGATGCCCAGTGGATGGGACCCACCAAGTTCTCACCATTCTGTGCTCCACAGCGAGAGCTTGTTGGCCAGGGTTGGGATAATGGAGTGATCAGGTGAGCACACTAAATCTTGATTATACTCCTGGAGCACAGGTCCACGTGCCTCTTTTTGCTGCCTACTCAGTGCCTCAGGAGCTAACTCTGAGGTCTGCATCCTGGGCTCTCCTGTCCTCCCCCAGTTGGGGTCAGTGATGGAAAACTCGAAGGGCGAGTTCTCAGTACCTGCCCTGCTCCTCACTGCCTCCCTGTCAAATGCAATTCTGGTAAAGCTGATTTCCTTGCTGGCTCCTGACAGTGGGGCTTCTTGACAGCATCTTCTTCCAGAACCTTCTTCCAGACTCAGTGCTCATTGGCTCTGATATCATTACTTGTTCTGTTGCACCATCAGGCTGCAGTAGTAGTGGCTTCTGTTTCTATTATGAGAATGCAAGCATTCTTCACCGATTCCCTGTGGCTTGGCCTTCTGTGGTTAAGTCCCCTCCTTAAACTTCCCTCAGATGAATGCTTCCTGTGTGTCTGCTGACAAAGCCATGTGATGTGAGCTTCTTCTGGGCAGGGCTCTGCTGGCCTCACTCCTGTGTCCCTCATGCTCAGCCTAGGTAGGCGGTGAAGAGATGTTTGTTAAACTGAATAAATGCAGAGCAAATAGTGCCCTTAACAGATGGTTTGGTAACTACAGCAGTGATTAGGTCAGCGATGTCATTTCGCGCCATAAAACAAAATCCCAAGCAGGATGATTGCAGGTTCAACATCAGTGTGGTCAACTGAGTGAGACACTATCTCAAAATAAAAAATCTGCAGTAGAACTATGTACTCCAGTGGTAAAGTACTTGCCTAGTGTGGTTTCAATCCCTAGCACTGCAAAAATAAACAAAAATCCTCAAATCTCCAGAATCCTAACCATTTCCTTCCCACCCTTATTTTCAGAAGTGTAGAGAAGAACCTTCACCAGAAAAGAGGCTGAAATACTTGGCTAAGACAGCTAGAGCATGTCACATGACAGTAAAACCATTCACCTGGCGCTGGAGCTCCCATCCCAGCCACATGCATAGCTGCACAACCTCTGGAAACTTCCTAAGGATCCTAAAAAAAACGTCTCTCTGCAGAGATGCCAGATCCCTCCAGAATACGAGATGAAAGGCAGCTGGAGAGTATATTGTGCCCTTTTATAGCTAAACTGAGAAAGAGTAAGAGTCACAGCCCTGAAAACCCTCCACATCTGTCTTAGAAGAGGCACACTTGGAAGGAAGTGTTCCCTTTAGTACTGTCATAGTATAGACCTAAAATGGTCCCCATTTCCCCAGAAGTCTCATGTGTGCAGAGGTGGGGCTCTGACATGAGATCCTTTGTGGAGGTGCTGCACTGTACTCATTGGTGGATGCATCCATTGAGAGCTTGGGGACAGACGTGCCCTGAGGAGGCAGAGCCTGCTCAGAAGAGCTGGGTCACTGGAGATGGAGTCCAGTAGGGTTATCCTTGGCCACACTCCTGTCTTCTCTTTCTCTGCTCCAGTACCATGGACTGAAGAGCTTTCCTCATGCACTCTGTCCACTGGAGCCAGCTGACCATGCATGGACTCACCTCTCTGAAACCCTGGGCCAACATAACCTTCTCCTCCTTTAAGTCCCAGGTGTTGGCTATTTTGTCCAGTGGAGGAAAAGAAATAATACAGATAACTCTTTGCATGACTGATTAAAAAAGATTTATATGCATCACGGCATTATTAAACATATTCTGTTGCTAGAGGAACCTGGGCAGGAGAAATTAGGGGGTACAACTTGACCATCACCCCAGGAAGAGGTTTCCAGGCTGTCTCTCCATATGAAGGGAGGGAGGCTTTGTGGTAAACTGAGTCTGTGTGGCCACTGATTCCCCCAGTGTCCTTTTGCTCAGCACTCACAAGTACTACATCGCTCCCTCATCCTCCCATGTGCTCTTCAGTCTGTTTCACCAGCTCCTGGTTCCTGTCGCTGGAGGGTGGCACATTATATTTTAAGACAAGGTCATGAATAACAAAGATTGTGAATAATGACCACAGTGGACTAGGTTCTGTCAAGATGATCCATTTCATCTTGCTGCTGTAAAAGCTCTTTCCTGGTTGTACACACCCAGTGTCCCAGGGCACAATCATAGTGCTGTGTGCTCCTTTTTTCACCCATTCATTTACCCCTTAGGGACTCTTTTCTTGTGGCCTCTGTACACTTATCTCTCTAAGCAGAATCTCATCTGTATTGAGCAAGACAGGAACAAATTCTATTATAGATGAACAAGGGAGATGGTTTTATTATCTCTCTAAATAACACACATCATATTAAAGACTTTTCTTTGTTACATTATCTATGTAGCTCTTAACCTATTTATTCGCCAATTGATCGATTTGTCAGACACTATTGTGAATGCTCCATCTGTTGTTTAGCTTTCTGTTACTGTAATAAATAGCCAAGGTAAATCAATTTAAAAAGAAGAAAGGTTTAATTTGGCTCACAGGTTAGACCCTTCAATCCACAGTCAGTTGGCCCTATTGCTTTGGCAGGGAGCACATGGTAGAGGAAGCTGCTCACCTTGGCAACCAAGATGCAAAGAGAAGGAGGGAGGCCAGGGCTCCACCATTGTCTTCGGGGGCTGCTGCTGATTGGAAGACTTCCAACAAGACCCCACCTCTCCGAGATTCCACTGCCTGCAGACAGTGCCACAGGCTGAGCACTTCTCATGCCACAGCACTTAACATGTTCCAGCCCAATCATGATTTGAGTGCTCCTGTCATCTGCATTTCCAAACTGAGACTCCCTTAGGCTCAGAGAAGTTAACTAACTCACACCAGGTCACACAGCTTGAAAGTTTTAGAGATGATATTTACACTCATGTGTTTGGACTCCACAGCCAATAACTTCTCATTATATTCACCTCCAGTTTGGAAATAGTTCTTTCATTAATATGGAATTTTACTGGAAATAGAGAATACCTGGCCACCATTCATTGAACCATGACTTCCTGTACAACATCTGGTGAGTATGATGTCTTTAAAAAGTAAGCAAGCATCTAACATATGGCCAAAGGATCAGGTGACTGCTATAACAGTAGAAAAAAGGCTGTCTGTCCCTGGTTCATGAGAGGAGGGCTCAGTTCCCCATGTGACTCTTTTCTAAAGGATCTAAGGGTGCTGATTCTCCTGGGCCTTTGCACAGTCATTTTGCTCGAACACAACACATTACCATTACAAATCATTTCCCCAAAACTCTATGTATAGCCTCAAATACAGATGCACACAGGAACATTGTAAAGACTAACTTTGTGAAGCCCAGGAGAATCCGTGCACACTTTTTCCAAAGCTTGACTTAGCTCCACCTTGTCAATCTGTATATGCAGGTCAGAGTAAGCTGTCTTTTCCTTTACCCAATCCTCAGTTTTCATAAAACAGTTAAAACGATAGGGCTGAATTCACAATAGCCAAGAAGCAGAAGTAACCAAGTGTTTATCCATGACTAAACAGGCAAAGAGAATGTGGTACATGCAATGGGATGTTTTTCAAGCTTAAAAAGGAAGAAAATTCTGGCTTGTTATAACACGGACGAATCTTAAAGATATAAGCTAAGAGAAAAACTCAAGTTGTAGAAGAAAATGTTACATAACGTCACTTACAGGAATTGCTTAGATGAGGCAAATATAGAGTCACAGAGAGTAATACGGCGAGTCTCTGGGGTTAGGGGAAGTGTATAGAGAGTTCTCACTAAATGGGGACAGTTTCAGTTTAAGAACATGAAAATGCTCTAGGGGATTTCCACACCGCAATGTAAAATATACTTATCATTACTGAGCTGTATACTTAAAAATGTACAGGTACACATATACACTATAATTAAATACATTTTTAAGGTAGCAAATACATATAGGATTATAGTTCACTATACTTTTCCTTCCTTCTCCTATCACTGAGAGTTCACTTTTTGCTCAGGAACCACCTTTCTCTCTCTCTCTCTTTCTCTCTCTCTCTCTTTGTCTTTCTCTCTCCCTCTCTCTCTGTCATTGAGAATTAAATCCATCCTTCACACTGAGTTAGATCCTCAGTCTCACTAAGTGTCTAAGTTGCCTAGACAGGGCTTGAATTTGTGATCCTCCTGCCTCAGCCTCTCGGAGTGCCACCACACTCAGCTAGGGCTTCTTTTTCTTAAACATAGACTTGAAAACATTTTGCTTGCACCAAGAGCAGCCCATGTGGTTAGGAAATGACTCTCTGCGCTGGCCTGCAGCACTCTCCCAGCCTCCCACGATCCAGCCGGGACAGGCCATAAGACCAAAGAGCATGTGATTTCCAACGCCCTCAGCACAGTTCCCAGCAGGGAAGAGTTTGATTAAACAGAAGATGAGGCTGATGGGGCGGGTTGGCAGCTCTCTGGTGAATCTTCTAAGGGGTAAAGGAAAACTGATTTGTCTTTTGAAAAAATTCATCTTTATTTAAAAATCCACCCATGAACCCCACATGTCCCTGTCATATCAATATGAGATGGACAATAGAATTTTGGATTTTTTTCTTTTTTGGTTTGTTGCATTTCCATGTTTTCAACTGAGAAACAGTATTGTACAAGATTTCATGCTTTGATCGTGTAGTGAAATGTATTTATAGTGAAACTACCAATGACATGAACATATAACCAGTTATTTTAAAAAGCTACATTCTTGGGCTCAAGATCACACGCACACACCCACATAACTGTGTTTGTGTAGAAATTCTTTTCCAGGTTTACTTTCTTGGGGATAAGCATGTATCTATACGTGATATGCAGACGTGGCAGTGACGTGGGGAGGAAACCAGTGCAGGAAGAGGAAAAGCTGGGTTCTGTCTGTGGCTGCATCTCACACAGTCAGCTCGTCTCTCTAGATCCCAAATCTGTGTGACAGAGTTGTAGATTATGACATTATCTCTCTCATTCTTCTCACTCTGGCTTTTCATGATGGTCTGATTTCATGGTCATGTTCAATGTGTTCATGTTGCCCAAACAAAACAACATCCTTGATATCAAAGAAAGATTGAAAAAACAAAATTTTTTACTCACTGAGGCCAGAAAGTGGAATAAATGAGCTATTTAGAAGGGACCCCAATAACAAAGGTTGAAATGAGGAGGTATTTCTGCTTATTGCTTGATTTTCCTCCAAATGAAATTTATACCTCCTGAGCATTTTAAATTAGTCCTCATTTTAAATATCTTTAAATAACTTTCAACAGTTTCCAATGCTTTTCTTTAGAGCATGTGTAAATTATACACAGTTTAAACAAATGAAGAAAAGCACAATTTGTTAATGAGATTACATAGGTAATGCTCACTGGGGCTTTCTTGGTCAATGTAATGATAAACTGTCTCCAGTATTTATGAATATCCTGAACCCAAGCCTTTCTTTTTTCTAATAATGCCTTCAGGGATGAAAATCTTCTATAGACAATAAGATTTGTAAACAATTTCCTTGCCATGTAGTGAAGCTGTATTTATCAAACTGAGTTTAAAATGTATTGAAGTGAAATAAATTGAGTTAGAATGAATCCATTTAGGAAATTTAGTTCATCTAAATTACAGACTCATTAAAAGTCAGAATGTGGCTTAATCAATTATTAGCCTAAGATCAGACTAGCAGGTGGTCCCAAATACACTGAATCCCAGTTAGAGACCCTCTTCCCTCTCCTTCTGCTCCTCTCCCTTTGGTCTTCGGTAGTCCATGCTAACTGACAGGAATAGCTGTTCTTTCTCATCACTTAGCTCCCAAGGACTGAGGGTCAGCTCTGGGATTGGCCTGTGTTGGGGCATTTTCTGTGACATACAGTGAGCTGTGTATCTTATAGAATCTGCAGTTACTGAGCCCCTTAGCACATACTGTTTGTCCACTGTGAATAATGCATTGCTTACAGAGCATTCTCCTCTATCATTTTCCCATCAAACATCTACCAGGTATAGTACCCTAAGGTCCTTATAGAGGGAGGAAGAGGAACCTGGAGAGTTTAAGAAACTTGCCCTGAGTTGAGCTGTAAGTTACTGATCTCAATAACAAAGTCCAGAGGGAGATGCTCCCACCCTCCTCCCAGCCTCCTCTCCCCTGGCAGCTCAAGCCCACCACTCTGAATTTCTTTCAGGGCCTTAGACACATTCCACCCACTGTCTCTCACCTGCGACCTTGACCTCGCTTTTGCTGTTCTCTGCCTTTCCTCCCAAGCAGGAGGCCAATGGCTGTGCCCTGCCCCACCTCAGCTCCCCGCCCTCTGCCGGGGCATTCCCTACACTGGTTACCTATTCAGATGCAACTTCTTTGGAGGCAAGGACCATGCCTGCCTCTCTTTTGCACTCTCTGACGATCTGATGGAGCAACCCACAAAGTGGATGTTTAGTAAGTATTCGCTGAATGAGTGATGGTAGGCAAGTTGAGGTCATTCTGATTGTGTTTTACATCTACCTAAACCCGAACTCATTTACCAGAAATGGGGATAAGGAACGTTTCCTCTTCGACACCACCCAACCCAAGGTTAGTGCTCAGAGTGAGTTCAGAAGCAGTGTCTTTAACTGACCACTGTAGTGCGTCACTTATGTGTATTGACCAAGGAAGTAGAGTACAAGACAGGGTAATGTAATAACAATAATAAAATGAAAGGAAAGGAAATGAAGTAGGACTCAATCTGCACAAAAATCAGTGAGACAAAAACCACTGCTCTTGGAAAAGATGAGGCCTATTTCAGACAGAAACCACCACAGGAACAAAGAACAAACTCCAGGCCCTTAACCTTTTACTTACTGAGTGCACGGTTCATTTCTGGAGCAGTCAAGGACTTGATCCCACTCTTTCTAAAAGTAAAACAAAAAACAACAAAAAAGTAGCAACTTTTTCCTTGAGCCTACAAATGCCCATTGTGTTACTGGGTTGGGGACCGTGCCCAGGTTCTTGGTGTCCTGAACACAGAGTTAAGCAGAGCACTCAAAAGGAGCATCAAGGTCAAAGATTTATTGAAAAGTGAAAATAGCCTCCCCGCAGGGAGAGGAGGCCAATGAGAAGCTTGGCACTCAGGGTGTTGAGTGATAGGATCTGGGGCTGGATCGAAGGGGTTGGCCTGAAATTTTGCTCTTACCAATGAGCATCTTAACTCTGCTGTTTCACTGGGTGGTGGAATTTTTGACATTTTCTAGGCAAAGCCCACAGGGGTATGTTTCAGAACAGCATAGCTCATGACATGGTAATTAGAGATGGGGTCAGTCAAGCGTTGCTGAAGATCACTGGGGACATGTCCAGAGACCTCCCGTGTGTGAGCTGGGTTAATTACTTTCTCCTTCTGTATTTAGAACATGACATCTTGGTCCTGGGCTAAGGTTTAAGTCAGAAGGTGAGTTTAGCCCAGAAAGTGGGCTCCAAGGCAGGCCCTCCCTTCTCCTTCCAGCTGTTTCTAGCCACCTTCTATCTCAAATGGGTAGCTAAATGCAGAACAAAGCTTGGCCTTCATTTTGTATTTCTCCTTTATTATCTTATAACTTTGAGTCACATCTTTGCTCTGTGGATAGGCATGGTAATTATTTAGGGGGTGCATGCCTAAAATCTGGCAATATAAGGTTGATTGGCATTCAGTTTTTGTAACCTATCTAATCCTTCTTCCAGACTGAGGACACAAAGAGTTACAGGAACACTCAGCCACCTAAAAGCACACAGAAGTCCTCAGTAATCCCTCTAAACTCATGGTCTCCTTGGGTTCCAGCAGAGGCTCCGTAAAACTGACACTGCTTATTATACTGCTAAATTCTCCACACAGGAAATATGCCCTGTCCACTATTCTTGTGTGAAGACGCATGATGTCTAACACAAGAGATACAACACTGGGTTACAACAACCCATCCCATACCTTTCTACTGTAAATTTGTACTGTAGCACAATAATATTCTGTTGTGTGTCTCAGTAGTTGCATCTGGGGGATATAGGAAACAATCTTTGTGTTTACCTACTTGGTATGTGCATGTATGCAAAAGTGTCAAACTGGGATTTTTACTCTCATTTATGCCCCATCTAACAAGTTTTGTATATGTCTACCTGAACATTCTTCTGCTATGTAAACACGCACTTTACATTAATGGATGTGAATTTATTTTGATGTTTCTGATAGAAATAGTTCAATTCAGTATAGCACATGAAAAACTAGATTTCCAAGTTTTGAAGGAAATAAAAAGTGAATCATCAGATCACTCACGCGTGGAAGATGAAGATGATGATGGCATTAATGTTGGCCATGCAAGCCAAAGTTCCTATAACAGTAAAATGGAGCAAGAATCAACTGATACAGACACAAGGAATGCAGACCTCCTTGATTTAGACAACAAAGAAAACAGTAATGTGAGTATCTATTTGACTAGTCAAAATGGTATAAAACTGTCTTGTAAACAAATGAAATGGACCAATGTTAGAATTAGGTCCAAAAATATAGTGAGGATCTTGGCAGGGGGCAAACCTAGAGGACAAAAGGCCTTGCAATGTTGGAAACTGTAACAGATGAAATGCTATAATACGTTATGAAATTCATTAATGCTGAAATACAAGTAAACGTTCTCTATGCACTGATAGCCATACTCAAAAGTGCACTTAGTATGACACCTCACTGGCTGAACTGAAAGCATTCATAAAACTGCTATATTTAGCAGGGCTTTCTCATGGTCATCACAGAAATGTAAAAGACTCATGGAAAAGTGATGGATGTGGGCTTGAGGTTTGTAGAATAACAATGACTGAGGACATTTAATTTCCTTCAAAATTGCCTGAGTCTTCTGATGGCAGTGCCCAGCAGGCAGAGGCAGGTCTTCTGGCTCTCTCCGCTAGCTATTGGTAATTTCCTAATGTCTTATTTTGAAGTCCCACAAAGCTTTTTCACTTTTTTATTGGCTTTATACTATTTTGTTTTGTTTGACTGTATCGTATGTGAAGATATGGTCAACTATTTCAAAGAAAACAAAAGACATTATGGTAGCCACTGTTGATTTCCTGTTGTTGTGAAGCCCTGTGTTGCTTGCATTGTTCTGTTCTGATTTTCTTTGTTCTGTTCTGTTTTGTTTTATTCTCTTTAAAACAAAAAAAATTTAATTGCCTGTGCCCTGATTAAAAGAAACTACCCACCAATAACAAAAAAATTAAAAACACTGGCTGCTATCCACCCATTGTTGGAGAGATTTATAGGTAAGTGTCAAACAATTTACACATCAGCTGAATCCATGACTATTGATGAACATCTTGCAGCAGTTCATGGTCACTATAGCTTCAAGCAGTGTATAAAAATAAACCCTCCAAAATATGGCATAAAAATGTATGTCCTCATAGATGCAAAGGCTTATTTGGTCTTCAATTTAGAAATTTATCCTAGAACTCAGCCACCAGGTCCTTATTCATATAGTAATAAACCAAATGATGTCATGAACAGACCTGTTACTCTTATCTCCCAAGCTAATAGGAATGTGACATTCAACAACAGGTTTCTGGGTTCCAACTGATGTGACACTTGCTGATGGAGCACATGTTTATCAGCAGAAGAACTGCACATGAGAACAAAGCAGAAATTCCAAGTGAAATATTGCAATTTCAAAAAAGAATTGTATAGTACTATGTTTGGGCTTCAGAAAGATATAGCATTGGCCTAGTATATGGCAAAGAAAAGCAAGCCAATACTGTTGATGTGAATATCTCACCATGATGGAAATATTGATAAGGAAATCTCTACAAAATGGAAACTTGAGATAGTAACTTTCTACAACAAAGGTGGAGTAGATGTGGTTGACTAGTTATTCAGCAACTCTGATGTCATAAAGTGTTCGTCCATAATTATGTTTTACTTGATCTCAAATGTGTGTGGCATAGTCTGATAGTTTTCAAGGAAGATGAGTGCAAAATATCACAGAAATTTTTTTAGAGGTTTGGGGCTGGAGTTTATAAGAGATCACTTATAGCAGAAGAGAACAAAAGGATTCTTCCCAAGGAACTGCACAAAAAATTTCTAAAGTACACTGGTGAGCTGACAGGTGACCAGGCAGGTACAGTGTCACAAAGACTTACAACAAGAAAACAAACAAAAAAAAGTCAACTGTGCCCTATAAGAAAGTACAAGCAAACAAATGTGCCATAGTGTGAGTGATACTTGTGAATGGAGCATGCAGTTTTCATGTGTGAGACATCCTTAAGTGTGACAGGTGATGCAAAGATTATGTCTGTGGTACAGTTTTGTGTGTTTACACTGTAGTTCACATGGGTTTTTATCTTTGATGTTATATTTTAAGTTTTATAAGCAAGTAAACAGCTGATGCGAAAATGTGGGTGTCTATTCTAAATGCACAACACATGATAAGAATTTAATGTTTATTTTTAGAATTCATGCTCCTCCCTTCCTTCATTGACCTGGAATGGTGTGGCTGGTGAAGAGTCTGAGATCTGCTCTCCCTCCATCTACTAGCAAGACTCAGAGCTCAGAAACCTACAGGAACACCAGTAACCCACTAGGATCCTGCAAAGGCACACACAATGGACAGGCAGAACTAGAGGTATGGGAGGGTCTCATGCAACAGTAATAACATAAGCCAGAACGGAGATTTAGCTCAGTGGCACAAGCATCTGACTGGCAAGCATGAGGTTGTAAGTTTTATTCCCAGTATTAAAAATAAATAAATAAACAAATAAAAATAATATAAGCCAGCAGGTGCTAAGTTAGGAGACAGTGTTGTGCTTGAGGACAGAGACACAGGAATAGAAGAAGGTGAGTAGTGCCACCCCCTTCTCTTGTATTTTCTTCTCTCTCTCTCTCTCTCTCTCTCTCTCTCTCTCTCTCTCTCTCTCTCTTGCTCTTTCTCTCTTTTTTTTCTTGCTAACCAACTGTGGAGAACTCCAGCCACAGAAAACTAATCCCCTCCCCTACATCCGGAGGCAAGGATCACACCCAAACTCAGCAAAAATCCACCAGCAATCTTGGCAAAAGTATGTATTTCTGCAATCCGACTTGAACCTACTACAGAACTACAGACACTAGAGGAATTTACTTTCACTTTTCTCTGTCTAATTGGTTTCCCTTTTAGTATTTGGTTGGATTAATGTTTTGTTTTACTTTCTTTTGTTTTTCATTTTATTTGTTGTTTGTTTTTATTGTTTCTTTTTTGTTTGCTTATTTCCCCTTTTTTCTCATTTTTTCATTTTGTTTTTCTTTCTGTATGTTGCTGTTTTTTCAATATGTAAGTATATTTTTGTTTACTGGATTTTTTTTCTCTTTCTTATTTCTTTTTCTGTTTTTTCTTCCTTCTTTTCTGTCTCATTCATGATTTAAATCATTCACCTTTCTTTTTGTTTTATTCTGCTTATTTTCCTCCTCTCTTTAGTCAACTATCTCACGACTCTATGATATTTTCATGTGAGTAAACACCATATGGTCTCTTCCCTTTCTGGTTCCCTTCAAAACTCCTAGGCCTTCCCCTCTAATCCTTCCCTCCTGTGTCCTACAGTTACACAGAATCTGGATGATCATCCTGTGCCATCCAACCTTGCTCCTACTGTATTTAACCTCATGCATCTCTCCATCCCACCCCCACTCTCTTGAACCCCACACACAACAGCATAAACTCATTCTACTAAGTGGGAAATCATTGCATACAAGTTCCTGGTATAAGTTGGATTATATTACACTTCTGTGTCTCTTCCTCCTATGGTTATAGATACCAGGCTAATAGTTATCACAATTTGTCAGTGATAGAAGTGAAAAGAAGTATGAAATATAAATGACCTTTATTTTAAGAATGGGGAAGAGACCCCCTGATCCTCCAGGGTCTGGCATTCTCTCCGGGGTCTGGCAATCTCTCCTTTGGACACATGGAGTAGGGGCATACATGTAGCTTAGGTTGGGGGTGGAGCCTAAGGGGCATTACTGATGCACAGGGAGCCCACTGGTATTCACTTCGCACCACAGGTAAATTCCTAAGGGCAGGGAAGATAGAGCTCTTTGGTTCTGCCTCCAAGGCTTTACTGGCTACAGTGTCTGGCCTAGGGCAAGATTCTTTCATTCCTGTCTTTTGATTATTAGGAAAAAGGGTGGAGATTTTTTTCTTTTGCTGATTCCTGCTGGAAGGGGGCACTGTACTGGGGCTTAGGGGTGTCGATGGGATGATGGTTGATGTCCATGTAAAAGCTGGTGCCAGGTGTTTTATCCAGGACAACTTTATCACTGGTGAATGCACGTATGTTAGACTGAAAAAACAAAGAGACAAGATGTCATGAAGAGGCATGGCATTGTCATATTTAAGGAACCAGGTGAAGTAAAAGGAAAGGTGCCTTTGATTTTGATATGTCATTATATCAGGACCACGTTGAGGTAGAATCATTGCCACAGTAAGGTAGAATTCTGAAAAATAAATGTGGGGTTAGGAGGAGTGAAGTTATGAGAGGTGATTACTCCCCCATCTGAAAGGGTAAAAGTTAAGAGGGTAGATAGGTAAGACTTGTCTCTGGTATGCATGATGTGGGAGTCTTTAGGAAATACTGTTGAGAGTCCTGCTATAAAAAGGATAAGAAATTAGGAACCAAATTGGATAACAAAATATGATAGCCTGAGCGTTGTGGCTGTGAGGCCTTGGTGAGATGGAGATGAGTGGGCAAAAGGATGGTTATATCTAGGGCTGGAAGGGCACCACTTAGCCTGAGTGATGTGAAACCAGGATGGCAGTCTAGCAACTTTGATTGCTGTTGAGGTTGTCAAGAAGACCAGGTATGGACTGCTGTAACTTGGTTGTAGTCCTTGGTATGATTTGCTGTAACAGGACATTAGTAAGTATATCAGCAGTTTTCCTGGTTGTGGGAAAGGCTTTTATGTATCCTGAAAAAGTATAAACAAAGGTAAGAAGATAAAATTTATCTGTCAGTCTTGACCAGGGTTGTGTCTGAGAAACTGGTGAATAAGAAAGGAAGGGGGTGATATATATTTCTGAGGAGAGATATAACAGGTGTAAGCTGTTGAGACCTCAGAGTATCTGGGTCAGCCTGTATAAACACAAGGGAACAAAAAGCATTTTTAAGATTTAGGACTGCAGAGTGAGTGGTGGAGGGAAGATTTGACACCACTGGGTGGACTGGGAAGAAGCAGTCTGGAACCTGCATGATATAGGCCCTGTTTGTAAATGACATAGGTTGGCCATCAATACTCCCTATAGAGACTGAGGACTTAATATAGCAGCCTGAAAACTCAGGAAGAACTCTCTCTATATATATGGCCCCTATGTCCACAAGTATAGAGAATGTCTTACCTGAGACTTTTAGTGGGACTTAGGACCCTGAGATGGACACCTTAAAGGGGGCCGTGGGCCCTTAGCCCCGTGAGTCTTCAGCAGCAAATTTAAGCAGATCTGTCAGCGATGAATCTGGCAGTGTTGGCATTTCCTGTGAGGGCTAGAAGTTAGGATGGCTTACCCACTCTCTGGTGGCTAGGACAGTCCAGTCGCCCTGGGGTAAGGTCTCAAAGGAACGCCAGGATGGGGCACTCTCTTGCCCAATGTCCTTCTGCTGCATTTGAGGCATGGTCCATAGGGGGGGCCAGGCAGCTCCACCTTGTGTTGGTTTACCTGTCTCAGAACTCCAAGTGTCACAAGTGTTACTGTTATCTCTGTTGTTGAAAACACAAAAAGCCATATTAAGGAGGTCTCTGTGGGGTTTGAGGGTCAAGTTTTGCCTTTTTGTTTTGGGATCTGGTCTACAGTAGAAGGTATCTGTAGAATTAAGTAAGTATGCAGGAGTCAAATACAATCAACAGGGTATTTATAATTTTAATAATGGCTTCCCATAAGGAGAATAAGATCCAGGGAATTTTAGGAACTGACATGTCATTTATGTCATATATAAGTATCTCTTTATATTATTAAAATGTCTAATGCCATCTAATTTTTGGAGGATGGCCTGTTTTATTAAATATTTTTTTATTTAGGAAAGAAATCAGCTGTGGTGTCATTTAATGTCTAGTGGTTTTCAGCAAAAGGAATTTATAATTACCTCTTAATTTTAGTTGTTAAACATCTAGGAGATTGGTAACAGTACAGTATAATATAGGCAGTAAGCTTAACATCAACCATGAGCATTGTTAGAAGATTGCTAACAGTACAGTACAATATAGGCAGTAAGCTTAATATAAAACATTAAATGGCTATTAACCATGAGCATTTTAACATTTGTATGCTGAAGAAATTTGTGAAACATCTCTAAGCGTATGTCTGGATCTGAAAGAAAACATCTTTCATGGCTGGAACACAAGAAAAAGGCAGCAGAAACAATCTGAAATTTGTATCTGAAAGCACAAATACACCATCAGATCAGCAACAATGAATTGTCTGTTGCAACTTATTGTGTTTGTCTCTGCGCTGGCAGCCAGAGCCACGCCTGCAGTCAGAGCCACACCTGCGCTCTGGGATGGGGGCTGGGACCACTCCGATGACATACGCAAGGCGCAGTGCATGGTGCAGAGCTGGAACTGCTCCGGAGAGCCCAGGTGGAGCGTTTAGGGTGGGGACAGTGCACGCAGAGTGGGCGGGGTGCCTGGGTGTGTAGCACATGGGGTGGAGCCAGAATTGCTCTAGAGACACGTGCAGGGTGGGGGCGGTGTAAACAGAGTGCATGGGGTGGCAGGCGCGCGGCAATGGTGGGGTGGGAGGGGTGCATGGCGCGTAGAGCTGGGGCGCAGTGTGAAGCCATACCTCCCAACACTGTTTGGACGCACCTCCCACATCTCGGCAGGGAATGCGTGTGGCACGGGGAGGGGAACAGGGAGGAGAGAAAGGAGAAGAAGGACACATTCTCAAAATAAAGGCTTAAAGAGAGTTTTGTAAACTTGTCGTCAGTGTGATAAGCTATAAATACCTGTCTCTGGGGGGACAGGAAGTGGTCACCAAGATAAAATCTGTTGTGGGGCCTGGCCCAAGGAGTCACAGTCAGGTGAGGCAATGCACCGTGGTCTACTAAGTTTAGGTCATCACCTGTACATTTTTTAGACCAAGTGATGATCAGTATTTTAGTTCCAAAGCTCATGATAATTGGCCATCATCAACACACGAGTGGATTTTCCGTGGATTTTAGTAACAGCTCTGCCCATGAGAGCTTAAAAAGCTCTAAAGGACATGAGAGTTTTCCAGTGTGGGGCCCGGCCCACAGAGGAAGGCTCTGCCTTGGGCTGTCTAAGGACATGAGAGCATCACCCAAATCCACAGAAGGTGGAGAAAACCCACGTAGGGCCTGGCTCAGCAGCCCGAGTAATCTCTGGGGGTTGCTCACCTGTGGTAGATGAATTAGACCAGTGTTGTTTGCAAACCAGCAGCGACAAGTTTAGCAGCTCCCGAGTGTTGAGAAGTGAGGAATTAATCCAGGATGCAGTCCAGTTCGTGAATCAGCAGGGGACTCGGAATGGGAATTCCAGAAGTCACTCACCTGCAAATCCGAGTCACAGCACCATCTGATAGAATTGGAAAGAAGTATGAAATATAAATGACCTTCATTTTAAGAATGCAGGGCGAGGACCCCCCCCCCCGACCCACCGGGGTCAGGCATTCTTTCCGGGGTCTGGCAATCTCTCCTTCGGACACGTGGAGTGGGGGCATACATGTAGCTTAGGTTTGGGGTGGAGCCTAAGGGGCATTACTGATGCACAGGGAGCCCATTGGTATTCATTTCACGCCACAGGTAAATTCCTAGGGGTGGGGAAGATAGAGCTCCTTGGTTCCGCCTCCAAGGCTTTACTGGCTACAGTGTCTGGCCTAGGGCAAGATTCTTTCAGTCGGTAGCCAGGCTGTACTTAAGACTATTGTTATTGTCAATTGAACTACTTTAACCAGGATGCTACAACCAGCCCCTCCCCCCACCTTGTGGGACTTTAAGGGATCATAACCATCATCATAGTCCAGTACCAAAGGAATGAGCCCTAAGTCAAATAGATAGCAACTCAATATATTAGGAAGGTAGGTTCTTGGGATAAACAAAGACCAAGAACCACCTCCATCATTTTGAGGAACAGACACCTCCCAGGAAAGCCCCAACACCAGTGATTATGCTATCTAACAAAAGAAATCTACAAGCATCAAGACAGAAAACAAAATAAAATACAAAATGATAGGACAAAGAAGCAAAACACAATTACAAATGCCCAGCCCATCCAGGACAAGTCTGGAGCCCTGACAGAGGAAATCAGAAGCCAGAAAATGGAACTCTCCGAAATGATAGCAGCAGAAGTGAAAAAAATATGGAAGAGGCCATCGAAAAGATCATGTCTATGTTATAAAAATAAATGCCTATCAAAATGAAAGACACTAAAGGGGACACAGATTAAACAAACAGAAGAGCTCAGGAAAATGTTGCAAACCTTGAATGCCAAACAGACAAGAAATGGAATCAATCAGACAGATCCAAACAGAAATGCAGATTAAAAACCGCATTGAAAGTACATACAGCAAGTTAAATGGAAGCGAGGATAGAATATCAGATCAAGAAGACAGGAAGGTAACTAGCAACTAGGAAAAGAAAGATGTCTTAAAATTTAGTAAGAGGCCACAAAAAAATCAATCCAACAGCTTATAGGATGAAGCAAAAAAGAACAACATAAAACTGATTGGAACTTGTGGGAAAGCTGGAGACAGTACAAAAGCCATTAAAAACCTCTTCACCAAAATAATGGCTGAAAACTTCCCAAATATGATAAAGAATTTCACATACAAATAAATGGAGCATTTAGAACTCCAAATAGCCATGACCAAAATATCTACACCAAGATATCTAATAATCAAGATCCCAGAAATTCAGCCCAAGAACAAAATATTCAAAGGGGCTAAAGAAAAAAAAAAACCCAGTTCATCTATAAAGGAAACCATCAGAATCACAGCAAACTTCTCAATATGAATCCTCAAATCAAGGAGAGTTTGGAGTGAGGCATTTCAAGCCCATAAGCAAAACAATCTTCAACCCAGATTGATGGACCCTGCAAAACTATCTTTCAAAACTGATGGAAAAATAAGATATTTCCATGGCAAAGAACAACAAGAAAATTATGACCAGCAAACCAGCTCTATGAAATGCTCTGAAGAACATATTAAAAAGAGATAACAAAGAGCATCAATACATGAATGCCAGTAGAAAGAAGCTACCAGGCAGAGCAAGCAATTAAACAGAGGGAACAAAAAACAGAAAAAAAAAACTGAAAAAGAGAAGCCAATACATATCAGTTATAACCATCAATGTAAATGATCTCAATTTACCAATCAAAAGAAATAGACTGACAGAATGGATCAAGAAGAAAGATTCAACAATATGCTGCATCCAAGAAGCACATTTAACCCAAAAAGAAATTCATAGAATAAAGCCAAACAATTCTCCATGCCACAGTAACCCAAAAAAGAAGCAAGGGTTGCTATTCTATTTGCAAACAATGCAAACTTTTAAGCCAAAACTGATCAACAAGACAAAGAAAGTCACTATATACTCATGAAACTCCACGAAGAAGAGATAACAATCATAAATTTTTATGCACCAAACACAGGCTCATCCAACTACACAAAACAAATATTAACAGACATAAAAAAAAAAGTAAGTACTATAGGGACCTTAATACTCCACTTTCACAAATAGGTAGAACAACTGGACAAAATCAACAAAGAAATATTAGGATTAGACCAAGCCTGTGAAAAAATGAACTTGGTAAATGTATACAGAGTGTTACACTCTAAACATTAGAATATATATTAGTCTCAGCTGTACTTAGGCTATTCTCCAACAGCCATATATAAGCTAGCAAAAAATGTTTATGTAAATGTAGAGGAATTGAAATCATTCCATGCATACTATCTGACCATAGAACAATGAAACTGGAAATCAGTGACAAAGGAAATCACAAAAAACTGCATTAACACGGGGAAATTAAATAACACCCTTCTGAACAACCAATGGGCCCCTGAGGAAATTAAACAATATATACAATTAAATAATAATGCTGATACAACATATTGAAACTTATGGCACGCAATAAAAGCAGTCCTATGAGGGAAATTTCAGTGATGAACTCACATATCAGGAAAATAGAATGAGCTCAAATAAATAACCTAATGGGTTTTCTTTGTTTTGGGTACCAGTGATTGAACTCATGACCTTGAGCTTGCCAGGCAGGCACTTAACCCACTGAGCTAAATCCCCAGCCCAAATAACATAATGTTGAACCTCAAACTTCTACAAAAAGGAGAACAAATCAATCTCAAAGCTTGAATGAGGAAGGAAATTATAAAGAGCAGAAATTAATGTAATATAAGCTAAGAAAACAATACAAAGAATCAATGAATTGAAAAGTTGGCATTTGAAAGAATACATAAAATTAATAAACCATTAGCCAACCTCATCAAAAAGAGAAAATGAAAAACAAATTCAAACAACTAGGAATGAAAAGGAAAAAATCACAATGAATCCCACAGAAATCCAGGAGATCATCATTATCTACTATGAGATCCAATATTGTGATAAGATGGAAACACAGAATGGACAAATTCCTAGACACTCTCCAGTAGTCAAAACTAAATCAAGATGATATAAAGACTCTAAATGACCTGATACCAGCCAATGAAATTGAAAATGTAATAAAAAATTGATCAACACAGAAAAGCTCAGACCCTCATAGATTCAAGAAATTTAGAGAAGAACTAATATCACCAATGCTGAAGCTATTTAAAGAAATCTAAAGGGAAGAACTACTTTCAAAATCATTCCTGGAAGTAAGTATGACCCTGTTTCCAAAACCGAGAAGAATACAACCAAAAAAGAAAACTGTGGGCCAATCTCCCTACTGAACACATATGCAAAGATCCTTAATAGGATACTGGCAAACAGAGTACAGCAAATCAAGAAGATTATACAAAATGACCAAGGAGGATCCATCCCAGGGATGCAAGGATGGTTCATTATACTCAAATCAATAAATGTAATAGATCATATCAACAGAACCAAAGACAAAAATCATATTGTCATCTCAATAGATGCAGAAAAAGCATTTGGCAAAATTTAATACCCATTTATGAAAAAAAAAACTCACAGAAAATTGAAATAGGTGGTCGCTATTTCAATCTTATACAAGCCATCTATGACAAACCAACAGCTAACATCATATTAAATGGTCAAAAACTGAAATCTTTCATTCTAAAATCAAGAATAAGACAGAGAGGTCTGTTGTCACCAACCCTATTCAATACAGTTCTGGAAACATTAGCCAGAGAAATTAGGAAAGAGAAAAAAATAAAAGGAATAAAGATAGGAAAAGAACAAGTTAAATAATCATTATTTACAGACAAC